GGTCAGAGCGGTCAAGGGTCAAAAGTTTCCAATTTAGCAAGAGGGCACCATTCATGCCTTATTACAGAATTTGCACGCGTAAATCGCGGAGAACGCTATGTGTTTATAAGATCTTTGGTACCTAGATAAAGAGAGTTTGGCCAACTTCGCGCATGGCGCCATGTTGTTACCAAACAGCGTGCGCGCGTATATTCTGTTCATGAGGACAATTCAATTAAGTGATTTTAATGTATCTTCGTAAATGTCATATGTAATCATATTTACATAACTTTGAAATTAATCAACGCGCTGTATTATTTTGAGAAGATAAAGTGAGGACGATTCTTTATATTTCGTTACTATTATCTTTTTGTTTTGAAAGTCTCATCTATGCCTACGCCTAGTCTCTCGCAGGCCTCTCTATCTAGCCTAGCGAGGCTTCCTAGCCTCTAGTGAGAACATTTTTTATACAATAAATTTGCCTAGGCCTAATCATAATCAAGAAGCTAGGCCTATGTAAGTAACAAAATATCTATCCCCACCCATAGTTTTCATTACAACCCTGTTATAGAATCATTACATTTGGCTTTATTTAGTACGGTACCGGTACTCAGCTGGACCATAGAGCTGGACTACTGATACTTCCTATGAGGGGCTTGCACATTAATCATAGAATTTTTCAAAGCAGCATCTATGACATGTAGAAATAATATTTTTCATATCGAAATTCTGTTTCTAGATAAATGGAGCATTATAAGTTTTGAGATACAGTATTGTAAGGAAAAATTATTGCTTTTATTTTTAATTTTCTTTTTCTACTTTTTTACAATTATATGCATAAATATGTAGGATCATAAATTGTATGTTATGCTGGATGATTCTCCTTCATGTGTATTCACAATCTGTAGAATAACCTTCATATGTATTCACAATCTGTAGAATAATTTAAGACTCAACAAGTGGTTTATCTTGTTATTTAATGCCTTAAGGAAGTCAGGATTTTAAGATTTAACCGCATCTCTTCATCATAGTTATTATAAATTTTACATTTCTGAAAGTTACAATCTCAAATCAAAACAAATTTTAATTAAAATCAAAGAAAATAGTGCATGTTAAACAGTTATACGAGATTGCACCGCCGCAGTGCGAAACATATGCTGTTTTATCGGCACCACCGCCAATTTTATTTTTACTAGATTAAGTGAGACAGAGGTGTCAAAATTTTATTAAAGATGATGTTGAGGGTGCTTATTCGAGAAGGAGGTTTGTGGAGGAGCTAACTTATTACTAGCATAATTTCACATCAGCCCTTGGCAAACTTTATTTAGCATCACTGGTCATACTGAACAAACTGGTATTTCCATCTTACTGAATTGTTGGGCTTAATCGAGAAAGTTGCTAATTTGAGAGGGAGCTTATTAAAATTCTACATTTAACATGATTTAGAATAATTTTCCTTCAGCGTTTGACATAATTTTTTTCGCATTACTGGTCACACTGCAGAAACGGGTATTTCCAGTAAATTGCTTTAGCTAGGCGTAGTTCGGTTGATTTATTTTGTCTTCTTTCATATTCAGCATTTAATTTTTATTTATGTGACTCATTGTAATTAAATACATTTAAAAACAAAACATTTGCTGTTTTCCATCGGCAACTACCGCAAAATTTAATTTTGAGTAAGACACAGCTGTCACAATGTTATTGAAGATTATGTTGACTTTATTAGGTGAGGGCCAGTGGCGTATCTAGGGGAGGGCGCGGTCCCCCCCCCCCAAAAAAAATTACTCGCACCCCCCAGTCTTCACTCAAAAATCACCATATTTTGCGAATTAGCGCTTCTCAACTGATCATCGAGGCTCAGCCAACTTCACCTTCGCCCCCCCCCCACCAATTCAAGACTTTTTAGATGTTGACTTGTGTATAGATGACATAAACTCAACAGCTAATTTTGAATATATTGCAATTTATTGAACAAATGAAAATACAAAGTTGAATATCAAAATTCGAAGAGAGAAAACTAAGTGATGCTTATCCTATTAAAATGGGAAATCAACTGACCTATCAGTAGGGTTTTTTCATAAATTGGAATCAAAGGGGAGTGAAAGGTAGGTCAAGTTAAACTGTGCATACCAATGCCATAACCAAAACACATCAGTTGTCACTGGTATTTAGCAAGGCTAATAAATTGGGCCTAGGTAACTGTACCAAGGTTGTTACCATTATAGTTTAGAAATACTGAGAATTCATATGGGATGGAAAAAAAAATACAGGAAATAAAGTTCAGTACTGTACTTCAATGCTGGTAATTTATAAATTTAAACATTACAAATAAAAGTCCAATATTAATAGATGCTACAATAGCCCCCTTCTAGTGAGAAGGTAATGGGGAAAAAATAAATTCGAACGACAGTCACAAAACGTTTAGGAAAATGTACATGGCGTCCTGAGCGTGTTGTTCTAATGTTTGGTTGTGTTTCAGGAGCTGTACTACAAGATGGAGTTTGTGTGGGCATTGATTGTTCCGGGATAATATCCAAATGAGCACATTTTAAGCGATCAATAGATACATTGTCTTGTCGAGTTCCGAGATCAACTTTAAAATGTTTCGGTGTTCGCGAAATAACCTTGAATGGACCATCGTATGGATGCTCTAAGGGTTTGCGTACAAAAACATGAGTGCATGTGTCCAGATCGTTTGGTATGTATGTTTTGCGCGTTTGAGTACGTGAAATTGGTGGTTTTATATCCTGAATCGTACGTCTCAAACGATCAATGTACTGTAGTGTGTAGTGTGTAGGGTCTAAAGTAGCTTTGTTTGTATTAGTGAAAAATTCTCCCAGTAAACAAAGAGTAGTACCGTATTATAGTCGTTCTGCAACACTGTGGCCGAAATCAGATTTTTCAGCTGTATGCATTCCTAGCAAAACGAGTGGTAATTGTTCACACCAATGTGCAGGGTCATTTGTTGCTTTTAATGAAGCTTTTAATTGACGATGAAAACGTTCAACTAAGCCATTAGACATCGGGTGGTTTGAAGTTGTGCGAATGCGATTAGATCCTAAACATTTCGATAATGAAGTAAATAAAACACTTTCAAATTGACGTCCATGGTCAGTAGTAACAATCTCTGGTGGACCAAATCTTGAATCCAGTTTGTGACGAAAGCTTTAACCACTGTTTCTGCGGAGATGTCAGACAAGGGTATGGCTTCTGGCCATCTTGTGAATCTATCAATGCAAGTTAAAAGATAGGTATATCCAGAAGATGGCGGCAACTATATCAATATGCACATGAGAAAAACGTTCTGTGGGAACCTTAAAGGTTGAAAGAGGTGAGCTTGTATGTCGGTGTAATTTGGAGCGTTGACATTCAATACATGATTTGGCCCACTTTCTAATATCGTGATTCATATTAGG